GTTTTACATTGCCCAAAAATATTGGATGGGAGATAAATGATGGAACATCATTTTCCAAATCAACATCCATTTATGCTTTACTACTCTCAATGTGACCATTGAATGCAAATTCTCTTATAACTTGATAAGCTGAGGCTTTCAAATGGCCTTAATTCATTAAGCAAACTATAGATCCTTCTAAATTTCTAGATTAAAAAAACCAATAAGGTTGCCATCCATTTTAATTTTCTTGTACCAGCTTTCATTAAACATGTTAAATTTACTCAATAGAAAGTAATTTTTCCTAGACATTATTTATGAACAATAAACATAATTTTGAGCCATATTTTAAGGGATTTATGCATTCTAGGGGTTATTTTTGTCACCGAAGCCAAATAACGTAAGCGATCAAGGTCAACAGTTACCATCAACAATTACTATACTAGCTGGTATAATAGCTATAATCACAAGATCATATGGTTTATTTATTGATTGATCCAATTTCTATAGCTGCCCATATCAATCAGTGACTCTGGAAGACCTACAATTCCAAAAACATACAGAATTTTAAAAAGTAAAAAAAAAAATTTACAATCAATAAAAACAATAAAACATCCGAAATAAATATACACAGCAGTTGAGCTATTTAGCCAGTTAGCAATGCAGCCAGGAAATGGGGCCCTTAACACATTCAGTGCCCCAGGCTCGGAAACCCAGACAAGGTTTTAAAACCTTATGAAAGGCCAACAGGGTTCTAATCTCTGACGAGATATTTCACAGAATAGGGGCTACTTCAGAAAAGGCCCGTCTCCTACTCCCTGCCAGCTGAATTCTTTGACTGACGGGATGTGTAGCATGCCCAATTTGCTAGACAGAATTGGACAAGTAGAGACTCTTGGAAAAAGGCAGTCCCACAGGTAACCCCACACCAAACTGTACAGCACGGGTATCAAACTTGCCATGTCATGTGACATGTCACAACGTATCATGACTTTTTTTGCATTGTTGGAGGTGCGGTGGGCGCGGCCTGCGTATGATGCAACCGGCCCGTGGGCTGGCAGTTTGACACCCCTGCTGTACGGGGGTTTAAAGAGAATAATCAGTTTGAATTGCACTTAGAAACACCTGGTAACCAATGTAGCTCAGGCAGTAATGATGCTATGCATGCTCTATATTTGTCATCACTTATTACCCACATAGTCACATTCTGCACCAGCTGAAATTTCCAAATGCTCTTCAGGGGCATCTACTGAAATAGAGAATGTTGTAGTATTCTAAACAAGAGGTTACAGATGTATTGGGGATAGTGACTGGGGCCTCCCGGTCCAGGAATGGGCACAATTGGCCCACTAACCTAAGGTGTACAAAGGCTTTCCTACTCATGGTTGTCACCTGCTCTTTGAGCAGGGGGCATCAGTCTAAGACAGGGTTCCCCAACTTGTGGGCCATGGCCCACTAGTGGGCTGTAAGGGGATTACAACCACGCCGCAGAAATGGCCAGCGAACGAGTCCGTGCACTCACATCCTCACTTGTGTGAGTGCATGCACTCCATTTGCATGAGCAGCTGGCACGCATGCATGCCACTCATGCAAATAGAGCTGTATGCATGCACCCCATCCACAAAGCCAGAAACATTGTGGAACTCTGGTCTAAGAGGACCCCCTGATTGCGCACTGGGTCTGTCTGGGATAGCACAACCCTATACGGAACTAAAGATGAAAGAACCTTGATTCAGGAGGATCCAAATACTCATAGAAACTCAGTCTTGCTAGGGTTGAGTCAGAGACCATTTCACCCCATCCAGTACGCAACAGCCTCCAGCCACTGGAATAGGGTATCCACAGCATCACTCAAGGGGCATAGGTGTATAATATAAAGCTGGGTGTCATCCGCATATTGATATCTCACCCCAAATTGAGGGATCACCTTACCCAGCAGCCTCATGTAAATGTTAAATAGAAGGGGAGAAAGAACCAAACCCTGAGGCACCCCATAAAGTAGGATCTCTCTCCCTCTATCACCATTGACTAGAACTGACCCAGGAGAAAAGGGGAAAATCAACACAATCCAATGTTACCAACCTACAGTTTCTGAAGCTAGCCCAGAAGGATACCATGATCAATCGTATAGAATGCCACTGAGAGGACAAGAAAAGACAGGATAGATGTGCTACTTCCATACTGCTCTTGTCGGAAGTCATCCATGAGTATGATCAATGCCATTTCAGTATCAAATTCTGGTTTGAACCCCAACTGAAAGGGGTCTAAGAAGATTGGAAGGCATTTTGGAGGTCATCTAGTTCAATCTCATGCCCAAAGCAGGAACCTTCATATTACTCCAGATATTTCACTGTCCAGTTCTTTCTGGAAAATTTCTAGTGATGGAGCATCTATAGGTCCAGGAGGCAGGCCGCTGCTTCACTTGCTTAATACCTCTCATAATCAAGAAGTTCTTCTCTTAAATTTGGAGCTTATTCTATAACACTTCCCTCTACTGGCACTATGGGGGAATAAATCCATAGCCTCTTCCCTGTGCTAGCTTTCAAGTATTAGAAGACTGCTGTTATGTGTTTCCTTAGCCTTCTCTTCTTTAGGCAAACAAATCCAGTTCCTTTAACTGTTCTTCATAGAATTTAGCCTCCAAGCCCTTATCATTTTTTCATTCTTCTTTGCATTCTTTCCAGATCCTCAGCATCCTTGTACCGTAGAATGGCAATAAGAACTGGACACAATATATTATATGGGATCTGACCAGCATAGAATGGAACCAAAACTTCCCATGACTCTGATACTGTATTTCTGTTGATAACACTCAAGACTGCATTGGCTCTTTTGGCCACTGCAGCAAATCCATGCATGCTGCTGGCTCATGCTTAATCTGTGGTCTGTTGGGACTCTAAGATACTTCTCACAAGTATACTGCTCAGTCAGAAACCACCAGTCTCTATTTTTTTCCCTAAGTCCAAAAGAACCCATATTTCTCACCAATGGGTAGTATAGGACTCAATGTTCAAATCCATCAAGATCTTTTTGAAGACCTAGATGATCTTTTTTAGCCTATTCTTTGAAGGGTTAGCAGTTCCTGAAGCTTTGTGTGGCCTGCAAATCTGATGAACATCCTTTCCATCCTCTTATGTAAGTCATTTACAAAACTTCTGATGAGCACTGGGCTCAGGATAGAACCCTGGGGTAACCCACTGGATACTTCCTTTCAAACTGATACCTTTCCTAGACAGTTGTATCGGAATAATTCATGCATTGATGCTGGATAACATATTATGAGTGGAATAAATACTTGTGGAGTAAACTTCTAATGAATATTAGGCTGGCCTTTAATATGCTTTTTTAGACCAGAAACTGAAACTTATTTATTCATCAGGCTTTCTTTATTTGTTGAACTAATTACTGTTTATTCATTATTTAAGTGGTTAAGCATTTTTATTGTTCTATTTTTCTTCTTCTACATTTTATTGCATTCACTATAATTATAATTCTAACACCCTTATAGTATTTCTTAAAAATGTGAACAAATAAAATAAGCTACAGCAATAAGGAAGATGGAAAAGACCACATTTGACTGCAGTGAATTTGTTGTATGCACAAAGATGGAAAATTTGGCACTAGCCAAAATGGTTGATAGGCTTCATGGTATCTGCAGCAGAACATCCAGATTCAGCCAAAGTTTCATTCCATACAGTATTAACCTTGTGAATTCTCAAGCATTCTCCTTCTGTTATATATTCAAGATGGACAGTATTTAATATTTATTTGTTATGTATACTGTATGTAGGGGTGTGGGTCTATACATATGTTGTATATAGTATGTTTTAGGTGTGCGTCATGTATGTGTTTCACTTTGAGAGCGGGCAACTAAATTTCATTTTTGATGTGTGCCGTTGTGCCCACAGTAAAAAAATGACAATAAAGGTTATCTTATCTTATCTTATACCGGTAGGAATGGTTGAGAGAGATGACAGTACTTGCTGGGGACATCCAAACTGACTTCTCTGATCAGAGAAAGGACAATAATTATATTTATTACTGATTGAAATCCCTTCATGGACTTTTTGTGTAAAACAGAAAAAAATGAACTCATCATTTATAGTTTTGATTATTAGACCTGATAGATTATAGAAAGAGGAGAGTTTTATTTTAACCATAAAGAGGTAAATTTATAATTGTATTTACAACTGCTTTAAAGAAAATTGGAAGCTACTTTTTGTATTCAGCTTTCTCTTCAATTTCTTTTTTTCTTTTTCTAGTTTGCAGTTGGATTTTATCTTCCTTTTAAAAACACCATCTATATGTACAATCTATATATATATCTACAGTATGTACAATGTGTACACACACTCCGCATTTGAATAGCTAAAGAGCAACAATTTTATTGAATTTTGTTATTCTAGCATGTCTTTGCTCTAAGGATTTCATAGTATGCATAGCAACTAGCCATTATGTAGATCTCCATTGTATTTCATAGTGCCTTGACTCTTGGATCAAGTTCCAATAAACTCATTTTCTGTCAAGAAGTAAGGTTTTACAAAATTTAATGATGAAATTCTAATTACAGGGTTTTTAAATTGTTTTAGCACATATTCCGAACATAAGACAAAATAACTTCAGGAAGTTTCAAAATTAGAATGAAGAAAGTTATAAATAGAATTCCTGGAACACATGAAAATCAGATTCCAAACATGATCACAATTACTATACGACTACAAAACATTGCTTTGCTGCAGAAATATGGATGTCTTGATGCAGAAGGGATGGTGAGGTTTCTTTGGCTTACATTCCTGTTTTTTATTGGAAAGTATCTAGAAGGCATTAAATTCCTGGGCTAGTCCTTGAGGCCATGAACATCTTTCAACCTTTTAATTACAAAGAACCTTAGAGATAAATGCATGTTCTTAGCTAAAGAGAAGTACTTCCTAAATATGGTGAAATTTATACGACTCAAGATTTAAATCTAATAAAAATAAAGTTAAATAAGAATAGTTTTCAAGTCTTAAAATAATGCTTACTTTTCTATTAAATCCAGCGTTACTCCTGGTACCAATCTCACGCTCTTCTGCATGCAAAACCTGTAGAGAAAAGAAGAGATCAGAAGTAAATCACACTAATTAAATACCTAAGGACGGGTAATCCAAATGGTGTATGGCAGGAACAAGTCTCTCATTATAAATGTTTTTTTTAAAAAAAAAATGCAAGGAGTGACAAAAGGTTTTCTGCTGCAGAGCAGGAAACAATACTTGCTGCACTCATAACAATAATGCAGTGGCCTCCATTATTGCAGCGTCAAGTCCATCTATTTTAAGAGCCACAGTCATATATTTCCAGCAGAATGGGCAGGAGGAGAAACATGTAATTATTCATTACAATGTTAGGAAGCAACACTAAATAAAGCTGAACAGAATGGCCCACACACAAATGGGAATTTCAACAGCTTCAACACTAGGTGGAAAGTGGAAGCAACAGCAGGCAAGTTAAGAAAAGAAGTCTGAGTAACTTTCCCTTTCCATCTTAACCATTTCATCTTTGACTTATAACCATTCGTTTAGTGACCAAAGTTACAGTGGTACAGAAAAAAGTGATTTATGACTGGTTTTCACACTTATGACCACTGCAGCATCCCCAGTCATGTGATCAAAATGCGGGCACTTGGCAACTGGCATGTGTTTATGACAGTTGCACTGTCCTGGGGTCATGCGATCACCATTTTGTAACCTTTTCCAGCAGCCTTTCAATAAGCAAAGTCAATGGGGAGTGCCAGATTTGCTTAATGACCATGTGATTCACTTAACAACTGCAGTGATTTGCTTAACAACTGTGACAAGAAAGGTCATAAAATGGAGCAAAACTCACTTAGCAACTGCCTTGCTTAGCAATGGAAATTTTGGGCTCAATTGTGGTTTTAAATCTAAGGCTACCTGTATTCCATTTATATAAGAGCCACCAACAGTGAACAGTTTAAGCAAGTAATAAATATTGGCCTGCAATGAACCCTTCTTCCTTCTCCAGTCTGTTTCCATGTGTGCTTTATCATTCTTCCACTCTTTTTTCTTCCTATGCTTTTTCTCTGATGCCCATTGTTTCCCCTCTTTGGCCTTTTCTTCACTGTTCAGGAGCACTTCCTCCAGGCAGTGCTAACTTTTCATTACAATTTATGTATATATGTGTGCAAACTAAAGGCTGAATCCAAGAGAGTGTATGCTGCACACGGGCACACACAGAGCAAATCCTATCTTCTAACTCCCTAGTTTTCTCTTTTGAAACTCTTGAGACTCGTTTGGTTGCTGTGTCCTCGTTCACAAATCAAAACAGTTCTACCACTGGGAATGGGAAGTCCTTCTGTGAACCTAGCATTTTTAAGTAGTTCTGCCACTTAATGTCTGTTTTACAACATTTCTGCATTAAGTGCTTTACTAATCATAAAATGTGATGTCCTTGACTAAGGAACATAGAAATCAGCCTGTTACTTTCTTCAGAGGACCATGTTCCTATAAAATTTGGAAGTGTGCTTTTATTTTATATTTATGCTAATTGCCCCCTTTTTCTCTATTTGTCCAATTCAGCAATTTATGATAGCACTTTCAACTTTTTTGTCTTGTTTAACCAAACTTCAAATGCTACGAAATATTTTGTGAGTACCATGACAATCCGGGAGCCGTACTAAGTGTTGAAGTAAAAGACTGAGTATTCAAAGTTGTCTTACAATCATGTCTTACATCATACGAGCCTTCTTGCTGGGTAGATCTCTTTTCTAAATATGTCTCCAAGAATGAAAGAACAGATTGGATGTAGATAAGGAAAATGGGTTGGATGCCAAAAAAGCCCACAGTCATTTATGTAAATGTTTTATGTACAATGTTTATTTTAATAAGTTTTTATTTAAGCACCAGGTATCTCATGTATTAATTCCTCTAAAGTAGTATAAATCAGATTTCTAATGTAAAACTGCAACTATGCAATACAATTAAATGAGTGTATTAGCAATTTTTGATTCTAAAGCCTCAATACTCAATCTTTCTATTCAGCACTAAACTCACAAAACTGATGCACAGATAAAGTCCTGAGAGATTAAATGAACTTTAGTTCAGGTACATCCATTGTTGTGCTGTTACAAGCGTCAGGAAACTTGAAGGAGAATCTAACAACAGTGCTCCAGGTTGGCATGGCTGGAATGCAGATTGTGGAAAGTTCTGCACAAAAACAAGGTCCTTTTTTTCCTTTCTTTTCTGCCATCTTTGCATTCTTGAGTAGTAACTTGGCAAAGAAATTTAATCCTGCCACAACAAATGGAATGTTCGAGTCCAGAGATGCCTACTACGATATATTTGCAAGAGGGATAAAAATCACTTTTCTGACCTGTATTCCACATTGAGGCAAGCCCAAATGAGATACTTGATGTCCTATCAGAACCAGTTTCCATTCTGGAGACTTGAGGAAGGTGCTTGGTATCTGACTAGATGTTTTCTTGACCACAGCCTTTCATGGCTAATTTGATCAAGCTGGAAGAGACTGACTTGACCACAGCCTTTCATGGCTAATTTGATCAAGCTGGAAGAGACTGACTGGATAGATCTGGAGTATGGTAAATGAATTTTTGTAATAAAGATCAGACTGCTAGATACACAGAAAGACATAACAAGTCCACTCTAAACTTTTTAACTACCTGATAGTCACTGTATCCCTTCTTAAATAAAGTACTCAAGATGATAGTGCTGAAAAATCTCCAGGTGCTTTTGAAAGAAACTGATTATCTAAACCCAGTCCAATGTGATGAATAGCTTCTACAGGAGACAGGATGAGTGTGATCTTATTACTTCATCTTATTCTCCCAGCAGCTTTGGGGATTGTCAGTTATTATATTATTTTGGGTTGGCTGAGAGTTATTGGGAGTTACTGAATTCCTAGCTACTCGAAGAAAAGTAATGGAGAACAATAACATGAAAATTAAGTTAAAACAAATTAACAGTTCTACATAAAGAAAACAGGTATAAGAATAATCTAGAAGGCACTTTACTAAAAGAATATCTTTTACAGATGTTTGATGGTAGAAATCAATATCAATGGGCAGTTTGCACTGCAAATTCTGAAAATCATGCAGACTTCAGGTTGGAGTGAAAGAGAAACATATAATCATGTGCTGGGAGATGATAATTCAGCCTTCTAAGAGCCAAATGGATTCTGTCATGATCTGCCAATGGTTGGTTATGACAACAAAGGGCAAGGAGAACAATTTGCATTTGTTTATTTGTTTAACAAATGTTTATGAAACTTTGATTATCAAAAGGAATTTGGGTGTTGAATAAGAATAAAAACACAACATAATTACTGAAAAACATTAAAACAAGTAAGACAATGTTGAGACCCCAATAAAGTTCACATCTGTAGGCCAAACAAACTATGCCAGCTCCATTAGCATTCTGGCACTAGTGATTATGAGAAAAGCCAGATCTTCACTGCTTCCCTGAAGGTCAATGGGATCAGGCAATCTCTATCTCCAGGGAGAAGCTATTCATAAGATAGGTGCCATGACAAAGAAGGCAAGCTTCCAAAGTCCTATCAGCTGACAGTTTCACTGAGGGGAGCCAAAAATCAAGTGGGAATTGGCAGACACCATTAAGGGTAGGCAGTCCCTCAGGTAACCTGGCTCCTTGCCATGTAGAACTTTAATGGTAGGATACGACAGGACAGAATAGAATAACAGAGTTGGAAGAGACCTTGTAGGTTATCTAGACCAACCCCCCACCCAAGCAGGAGACCCTACACCATTTCTGATAGATGGCAGTCCAGTCTCTTCTTGAAAGCTTCCAATGATGAAGCTCCCAAAACATCTGAAGGCAAACTGTTCCATTGGTTGATTGTTCTCACTGTCAGAAAATTTCTCCTTATTTCTAGGTTGAATCTCTCCTTGATCAGTTTCCATCAATTATTCCTTGTCTGGCTTTCAGGTGCTTTGGAAAATAGGTTGTCCCACTCCTCTCTCTGACAGCCCCTCCAATATTGGAATACTGCTATCATGTCTCCCCAGGTCCGTCTCTTCACTATGCCCATGTTCCTGTAACCATTCTTCATATGTTTAGCCTTCAGTCCCCTAACCATCTTGGTTGCTCTTCTCTGCACTTTTTCTAAAGTCTCAACATCTTTTTTATAGTGTGGAGACCAAAACTGGTTGCAGTATTCTAGGTGTGGTCTTACTAAGGTTTTTTGAGTGGTATTAGTACCTCACGTGATCTTGATTGAATCCCTCTGTTGATGCAATTTAGGATTGCACTGGCTTTCTTGGTTACTGCCACATACTGTTGGTTCATATTTAACTGATTGTCCACTAAGGCTCCAAGATCCCTCTCACAGTTACTGCTATTAAGCCTGGTTTCGCCCAATATGTATGTGTACTTTTGGTTTTTCTTGCCTAAGTGTAAGACTTTACTTTTCTCTACATTGAATTTCATTTTGTTTCATAGGGCCCAGTGTTCAAGTCTGTCAAGATCCATCTGGATCTTGAACCTACCATCTAGGGTGTTGGCTATTCCTGCCAGCTTAGTATCATCAGCAAATCTGATAAGTTCCCCTTCTATTCCCATCTACAAAAAAGGAAAAAAAATGGACCCAGGAAATTACAGACCTATCAGCCTGACCTCAATACCTGGGAAGATCCTGGAAAAGATAATCAAACAATGAATCAATGAACACCTAGAGGCAAACAAAGTCATTACTAAAAGCCAACATGGGTTTGTCAAAAATAGATCATGCCAGACAAATCTTATTGCATTCTTTGTCCAAGTGACAAAATTAGTGGATCAGAGGAATGCTATGGACATAATTTACTTCGACTTCAGTAAGGCATTTGATAAAGTAGATCACAACCTACTACTTGACAAGATAGAAAAATGTGGGGTAGAAAGCACCACCACCAGATGGATCCGTAGCTGGCTGACCAGCCGTACTCAGCGTGTGGTCCTCAATGGAACCGCATCTACATGGAGGGAAGTGTGTAGTGGGGTGCCCCAGGGCTCTGTTCTGGGCCCAGTGCTCTTCAATATTTATATCAACGATTTGGACGAGGGGATAGATGGGG